GGCGCGCCGAGACCCCCATCGATCGCCGCGATCCCGAGTTGCGCGCGGGCTGGGTCGCGGCTTGGGGAGCGCAGCCGAGAGCCGAGAGCTCGGACTGCGGGCCGAGGGCGCGCTGCGTCTGGCGCGCGGCATCGGGCGCAGGGACAAAGGCTCAGGCCATGGGCTCGACGGCGCAGGGGCGCCGAGCGCGATGATCTGGACTTCAAGCCCAACGTGTAGGGCCCAAGGCTCCGCGCGCACGGCCCTGGGCCCACGGCGCGGGGCGCGCGGTGTTGGGGCTTCTGCCTGGGGCCGCCCAGCTCAAGTCCCAGGATCACACAGCCCAGAAAAGGGGGGCGCATTGCATTCGGAAGGCCGGAGGGCCTCGCACCTGAGCCACCAGCCCATGTAAGCAGCGAGCCAGACGCCGAAGCCAAACTCCGAAGCGGCGCGCCCCCGCGCTAACACACTGCGCCAGGAACGCCACGAGCTAGTAGCCCGAAGCTCGAGGCCGCTGCAATCAGCCCGAAGCGTTCCCAGCTGGGTCCCAACGCGAAGCCCTGGGCTTTGAACCACGTGCACGAAAAGCCGTCAGCCCGAAATGTGTGCATGAACATCAAGCCTTTAGCACTGCGATCTCAATCGCAGACTTAAGCCCTCGGAAGCAGGCACTGGGCACCGCGAGCCCTCAAGCCTCATGCCCGCAAGCTCCTGGGTCGCGGCTTGGTTCGCAGAGCCCAGAGTCCGATGCCAGAGGCCCGCGACCCCCCCCCCCACCACCACCACCACCCACCCACCCACCCCGCCCACCCCATTTCACAACAAGTCTTGAAACACGCCCGCCGCCCCTAGGCCCTAGGCCCGATGCCAAGGGCACACCCGCAACAATCAAAGCCAAAGCCCCCCCCCCCCCCACACCACCACCCCGCACACGCGCACACACACGCACGCGCGCACACGCACCACCATCAACCACCACCACCACCACCCACCCCCCCCAACCACCACCACCACCCCCGCACCCCACCTCACCCCACCCACCCACCCACCCAACCCCGCCAACCTCACCCACACACATCTCCACCGCCCGAAGCTTCGAGTCGCGGGCGATGGGGCCTTCGAGCACCAGACCTCAACCCCTAGAGACATTGCAGCAGGAGCCTTGGGTCTCCAGCTTCGGCGGCAGCAGCCTGGCAGAGATCGCAGCTGCGTTCGGTGAGTCCTTCGCCACATAAAATCGCGCCCACCAAATGCACCTGCGCTGCATTCCGCTGGGGGCGACGGGCGGGGCATGTTCCCGCTGGGCAGCGAACGACAGCGCGATTATCAACGCGCACACACCATGTAGGCAGCGATTACGACTGCGGAATTGGCTACCAAGGTATTGTTCGTCGCGCGTGTACATCTTTGTAGATGCGCATAGCTCGCGTAAGCCATGGCGAACTCCCCCCTGATGGCGAACACCTGGCCGCATGTTAGTCACTGCTGCGATATACAAACAAATGGGCAAGTACTGCGGCTCGCCCGAGCGGCGGGCATCTGGACGCGTGAACACTTCGTTCGCCACATCGGTGGCCCGTTGGGCGCGCTGTTCTTGTTGCGCTGGCTGCGAGCTGCAGGCGGCGGACCAGACCAGCCAAGCTTCGGCGTCAGCAGATGGCTTCGAAGACATTCATCACTGGGGGCAGAAACGCACCATTACCAGTGGCGTCAAGAGCGCCTGCGTGGCGAATACCAAGCAGCATTCCCCTTGGAAGAATTATTAATGCGCGGGGGGGGGGGCGCCTGCTGGCTCGCTCATGAAGCACATATGAACCCCGACAGAAGGCGGGTGGGCTACGTTTCTCACATTGGAAACATCAACGCCCATGGAAGGATCTTGCTTTCTTCGGTCGGAACACTGAACCTGCCCACTGTCCAAGGATGCGATGTAATGCAAGAGCTTGCTTGTTCAATGCAGCTCTCAGGGTAGTGATGGGCGTGGGCAGCGGCAGGCGCTGATCCATGACGGGCCCCACGCGCGCCATCCAACTGATTATCGCGCGGTGACGGCGCGCGGTGCTGCTTGGCAGAAGAATTGAAGACCGTCGGCCTAAGCCCAACATAATTTCGGTTGGTGGTTGGTACGTTGATTAGCGCCGGTAATGCATGTACTGCCGCGCGTGCCATATGGTGTCGCGTCGGCGCGCGCGGCTGGCTTGTCGAACCTTTGTCCGATAGCATGCAAAACCGCAATGACCCCCCCCCCCCCGTCGAGCAATGGCCGTCGCCCCAAACAGTTGCAACCGCGCGCAACTGAGCAACTGGCACTGGCGCGGGCACATTCGGGTGTGGGGGGGGGGGGCCTGGGATCTGCAACGAAACCAGTTCTGGCGGTGGTTGTATGTTGGGCCGCCACAAACCCCCGATGAGCCCACGAATGGAATCGGGCCTGGCGCCTGGCACGCGGTGCGCACGAAGCTGGCGCCTTGGTGCTGACCAAACGAATGTGGCAAACCATAGGCCTGAGGCTGACGGGAGTCTGGAATCGCGCACGATACACTGCCGCGAAGCATGTAGGAGAGCATGGGCTAGCATGGAAATTGGGGCCCTCGGCATTGGATTGTAGCCTCGGGATGTATCGCCAACGGAGGCGCAGATGTGAGCCTCTCGGGGCATCAACGAGTGTGAGTCCCGTTTGTCATATGCAATCCCCCGTGCAAGGTACACCGTCTAAGAGTCGCGTTCCTCGAAATTGGAGCGTAATCTGGCTAGCAAATTACATAGCATGCCGACTATTGGCTCGAGAGCTTCAGGTGGACGCGCGGGCATTGCGCGGCGCGCAGCATCGCAGTTCCAATGCCTAAGGCATGCCATGCACGAGCGCGAGCCGTGATGCCGAATTGCAAGACGCACAGGCTGCAGCGAGAGGTGCATGCACATCCCGTAGCTGTATGAAACGTGAATGCCATGTCACAAAATCGTTGCTTCGACCCAGGGGTTCAGCCGCATGGCGTGCGCCCGCATTAAGCCAACGGCTGCCAGTGAAGGGGTGGGTGGGGCGCGCGGTGGCCGCAAGCCGCGCTCGCGCGTTGCGCTGCAAATGGAGCCCGTGCTGAGTTGCCCTGGATGTGGCAATTGAATCGCGATGCTCTCATGTCCACCGCGTTGGCACGCTGTGTATTCATCGCATGCTTTGCGATGGCGTGCGCCGCGCTGCTCTGGTTGCGCTGGCGCGCGTTTCTTGCAGTGCATCGCGTTGCCATGCGCTGGCGCGCGCTGGTTTGCAACGCACGCTGATATGTCGGCGCGCGTTGCTTGTGCTGCAGGTGTCATTCTACAGCATCGTCAGCATCATCATCATCAGCATCATCACCACCTGCCTCCTCATCATCCTCGGACTCCTCCTCCGCCGCCCCCCCCCCCCCCCTACCAATCCCCTGTGCCCGCCTTTTCCTATCGCCTTCTCCCTTCTTCGCGCTTTCCACGAAGGCGACATTCAGAACGGCTGGGGGAACGCACGGCCCAGTCGCTTGCTTGACCAAACGTGCCCCACACGTTTGGCCACATAGACGTATCCAGAAAGGTATGGCAGTGGTGAGTTGCCGTAGGCATCTTCAATCTCTCTGTATATAGTTGTCCAACTACATACATGTCTGCGCCCTGTCGGGCTCATTGATGGCAGTCTTAGCGCGGGGGTGGGGTGGCCAAGGGCTGCCTGGAACTTGCCGGAGCTGTCTCTGAATCCCCCCTGAACCGCCGCGCCGCGCCCCCTCCCCAGGGCGTGGGGCAGTGCGAGGGGGCGGTTGCTGACTGGTGATGTTGGGCGAGGTTCGGGGGAGGAGGGAGGGGGGGGCGGGGTGGGGGAGGGGAGCATGGGAGAGGGAAAAAGGCGGAAAGGGCATGAGGAACGAGGCATGGCTTTGTTGCCCATGGAACGTGGCATGTTGCCGAGTGCCCGTGTACCCCTACGAGCGGCTGGGAACGAATAGGGACATCAATTGGTATCCTGGCTACGTGCCTCAGTCGACCACAATCACCTCACCGATGCAGCGGGGCATCATCCCGAATTTGGTGGCAACGTCAAGCACGGGCGTCGTTGCAACACGTTTGGATGAACCAAGCTTTGGGAACCATACCCCACGCGCGTGCATCTTGTACTTGGGGCGAGAACGGGCCTTCGGTGTGATACTGCTCCGCGCTGCATGGCCCTGGCTGGAGACGCCATCGATCTCGGGGTTGTAATCCCAGATGGACTTGGCAGCAAATAGATCCGTGCACTCGCCTGGTTTCGGCGGCGACCCCGTAGACGGGATGCACAACCAACCGCACCGCTGAGATGGCCGAAATCTCTTCTCTGGCGGCTCGGCCACATCTACTCCAACATCGCTCATGTCCCCCAAGCCGTACCAACTAGATATGCATGCGCAGCGGCCCCTCCCCCTGGACCCGGGCCTGAAACATAATTTAGATTACGACGCCGACCAGTTTAGACACGGGCTGCAGTCGAGTTGCTCACGCCCCGCGGGCCACGCTGGCACATCCACGCGCGCACACACGCACACACACGCACCGCACGCAACCGTCTGATATTGAGAACCACGGCCTCGTCAACCCAGTAACCAAGAATTGCGTTCGGGGTGCACCTCAACTCAGCTAGCAACGCCCGCAGAACTCCACCACTATGTGCACAACAATTTCGGTCGAATCGCATATGCCCACACATGCGCCCACACGAAGAAGCAAGTGCACATGCCCGCGCAACCCGCATCCACGGCTGCAGGGACCCAGCGGTCTCATCGCAGTTCGGGGGGGGGGGGGCTACACACAGGGTGGATTTGGCAGTGGTTTCGTTCTGGCATGGACATCGCACCTTGCCGAACAGATTGTTACACTTGCAGCTGCGCTCCCGACCCCCGCCATCGCTAGCTGCACGGTCCCAGCTAACCCTTAGAAAACGAGAAGCCCCGACTCAGTCGTATCTGAAGTAGATCCTGGCACCTGCCTGATCCGCACCTCCTCCTAAGGGGTGCGCTCGGGGCTGTCGGGCATGGGGATGGCGGTGCGACCCGTCGCCGTCTTGATGGGGTAGGGGTTGGCCGCCACCAGCACATTGTCGGGGTCCACAACGACCTTGGACACGGGCAGCTTGTCCTTGCAGCGGGCCCGGTTGTTCGCCACCCTGATGTTCACGAGGCCCTCGATGCTGATCTGCTGCGTGCCCTTCTTAAGCTCCTCTGGGCTGAAGCACGGGGGAGTGGAGGCTTGGAGAGGGCGCGGCGGGGATAGGGGGGGGGGCGACAACGCCGCCGTCCACCGCTACCGCCAACATCGCCATCGTCACCCTCGTCCCCCTACCCTTGCGCTCGCATTTCCCTCACAGGGTCCTCTGTGACCACATCGCTCAAAGCCTTGAGCACCTTCACGACCTTGGCATCCTTGTACCCAGCCTTGTTCGAAATGCTCTTGACAAGATCGTCGAAGCTGACTTTGCTGACCGTCTCCACGTGCTTGGCCGTCTTGGGCGCCTCCTTTTTCACTTGTTTCTGCTGCTGCTTGGGCGGTTCATTGCTGTCATGTGTGTCCTTTTTTCTTCTGGTTCTGCGGCGCGGCCTCGCCCTCTGCGGCCTGGGCATCTGATGCCTCGGCGGCTGGCTCGAGCTGCGGCCCGAAGTTGAACGCCGAGTCGCCCATCGCGTCGGCGCCAGGCTCGATCTGGGACATGCGGCCCCGAAAGAAATGCTGACTGGGAACAGCAAGAACCTCAACTGAATCTGAGACTCGAGAGGGAATCGGGCTACAGTGAACGTGACAGTGGCGGGAACACACGTGAGTAGGTGCTGAGAGGTCAGATGAGAACCAGATGCGTTCGCCGAAGAGTCACCCCAAAAGGACGAACCCAAAGGGCCATAGAGGAAGACAGGCTGACGGGCATGGCTATAGATGAAGACGGGCTGATGGGCATGGCCACCCACCTAAGAACCCAGGGGGCCATAGAGGAAGAACCCAAGAGGCCATAGAGGACGACGGGCTGATGGGCATGATCACCTAAGATGGGGGCGAGGCCCTCCGCTGGGCCACCCCCACTCCGCCGCCCGCGAGAGCGCGAGAGACTCGCGCCAACGGGCGCAGGCAGGACGGGCGAGGAGCAAGGGCAATGGGGGGAACCCGCGGGGCGGCCGAGCCTAAAGCGAGCGTCTGGTACCGACCGCATCCTGGGATTGCTTCGCACGCTGCTGGGGGAGCTGGCCCAAAAGGAGGGCCGAAAGGTGTTTGCACCCCCTACTTGTTATCTTGCGACTTCCTCGGGTGCCTCTTGGAAGCTCGTTGGAAGCATATTTTGACGTCTTGGGGGGCCTCTTGGCGGTCCTGGGGTGCCACTTCGAGCATCTTGGGTGCCTCAGGTGGCCTCATTGGCCCTTGGGGCCTCTTGGGGGTATCTTGGGAGCCCCTTGGAAGCCTCCTGGGCGCTTCTTGGAGCCGCGTGGGCGTTTCTCGGGCGTCCCCTGGGGCGCTCCTGGGAGCCTTGGGGGGCGCTCTTGGGGCCATCTTGGGGGATACTGGTCAAAGAGGGGGGTCGCCAATTCGCGCCCCCCCTCCAGAGCTCCCAAAATCGTGTGTTGGGCCACTCCTGGCGCGCTGTCGGGGCGCCCTCGGGCTCCCTTGGGGCCGACTTGGGGGCTCTCTGATGCCCGCATTGTTGCCCTCTTGGGCAATAGTTGAGCAATCCTTAAGGATGTTGGGGCCCCTTGAACAAGCTTAGGCAACCTTGTGCCCTCTTGGAGCAATATCGGGGCCCTCTTGGGCCATCGTGGGGCCCTCTTGGGCCAGATTGGCCAATCGTGGACCCTCTTGGAGCCATCTGGGGCCGTCTTGGAGCCAGCTTGGGGCCCGCTTGGGCAATATTGGGGCCCTCTTGGGCCATGTGGTGCCCTCTTGGGCCAGCTTGGGGCCCGCTTGGGCTCTCTCGGGGCACTCTTGGAGCAAGTTCGGGCCCTCTTGGAACATTATTGGTCCCTCTTGGGGCAATATCGGGGCCCTATTGGGCCATCTTGGGCCCTCTTGGAGCCACGCTGGGGCCCTATTGGGGCAAGATCGGGTCCTCTTTAGAACATCATTAGGCCCTCATTGGGGCCTTTTCTGGTGCCATCGAGGGCCATATTGTGCCCTCTTGGAACCATATTGGGACCCGCGTAACCCAACGTTGATTTTACCGTTGTTGTTCTAATCGCCGGCAAGGCTGGGACCCGTGCTGGGGCGGAGGGGGGGGGGTACTTAGGGCACGCGGGCGCAGCCCCCCCCTTGCTACCATGCGAAGCAACTCGCAATGGCTCAGCGCATGGACTGGCCATGCAACACGTCATCCCGATGATTTTGGGAACCGACGGCGACCAGAAAACCGACACGGCGACATGGTTGACAATCACCAGCGGTCCAAAGTATATGCGTCGATTTTTTTATTGGCCAAGCCCATTTTCAAAAACATGGTTTTTGATGACAAAAACAAGGTTTTTGATGACAAAAACAAGGTTTTGAAAATGGCCGTGCCGACGTCGAGAACCGAGGGCGGCCAGAAAACCGACACGGCGTCATGGTTGAGAACCTGCGTTGTCCAGCATACATGCGTCATGGCATCGTCGACCCGTCGTCGTCGTCGTCGTCGTCGTCGTCGTCTTCGTCGTCAACGTCAACGTCAACGTCGTCGTCGTCGTCGTCGCCGACGTCTTGCAGACGAACCCCTTCGACCTCGGTGCAAGAGAACGCAGATCCCCCGAGGCCCGAATACTAAACGCCCAGCGCTGCTGCCAACCGAAATCGAGATTTTCTTGCTCTGTTGGAAGGAAAACACGTCAGTCAGCTCGGCGCGCGCGGCCCAGCCGCAGAACATGCACGCGCGAATCAAGCATCAAGGCTGCAGGAACGGCTCTGGGCCCTCGCCATCGGCGCAGGGCCTCTCGCGCGCAAACAAGTCGGTCGCGCCAGGGACCTTAAGCAAATCCTGTCTAGCTACGAACCGATCTTCGTGAGAGAAAAACTCGAAGCGAGCAAGCATATGATTATCCTTGCTGGCGTTGTTTGCTTTCAGCCAGGCGGCCAACAAACCGAGTGGCCGGCCTGCTGCACCACCGGCCTTCCGCTTTTTACCTTCCTTCCCCGATCTGGAAAACCTGCCAGGGGCGCATCCTAGCCTGTGATTGGGATTCCCACGCACTGCTTCAAAACCGCGGCCCTTATAGTAGCTGATCTTGCCACCACAGAAGTCGACAAAGGAAAGACAATTCCCGTGTGGCCCGTGATGCACAGGAGCAGCGGGTGGCACATGTCCACCTGCAGGTGCCACTCCGCCCTCGCCGGGTGCAGGCCCAGCGGGGACGTGCACTGCAGGCTCTGGAGGCGGCGGTGGCGCTGGTGGGTCTTCAGCGCGCTCGTCCTCCTCCTCGGGGGATGGCAACGCAAAGCGGTGGCCTTGCCCCTCATGCACCAGGGCCCCGCTGGCACGTACACACTGTGACTGCCCAGGAAGCGGGAGGGGGCGGGGGGTGAGGGATTGCGAGAGGATGCGAGGAGAACTGGGGTCGGAGGATGGTGGTAGTCCAAGTGCAAAGCGAAAGGATGAGCGAACGATGAAGCATAAGGAGCAGAGAAGACGGGCTGAGGTTTGGCAGGAGGAGCAGAGACGACGGGCAGAATGAGGAGGAGGATGAGGACGGTGAGGAAGAGGAAGAGCAGAAGTGAACGCGAAGCGGCACAATCATAGACTTGGCATGCAATAAGCACACAACAAAACGGTACGCACTGCTAACCATCGCGGCCTAGTGCGGCCATTACAAAGCAATGCAAACGTCTGGCTACAGACGGCCCACGAGGCCTGCAATACGCCCCGAGAGGCTTCCAGGAACACACCCAGGAAGGCCCAAAAACTCAAGTTTCATTGATACCCCATGCGTGTTTGAAGGACGTTGGCGCCATCGCCCCCCCCCCCCCCCCGCTTCCCGACGCTCCAAGACGGCCCAAGAGGCGCCCAACATCGCCCCCTGACAGCCCAAGAGGCCAAACAGAAAGCCCCCGAATTGCCTAAGGCACAAACAACAGCACGAGACGCATCCAAAGCGGCCCCATAAGCCTCCCAGACGGTTCCACGAGGGCGCCAAGACGGGGGACCCGCACTGACATTTCGAGCCCTCGGCCCGAGCTCCCCCCCTTCCCCCTTCCCCCCTTCCCCCCCCCCCCCCCCCCCCCCCCCCCCCCTCACCCCCGCCCATCACCCGCCCACTAAGAGGCCCACTAGAAGCCACAGGAAGCCCCCAGAGGCCCCCACGAAGCTCACAATACGCACCCAAGAGGCTCCCAGGAGGCTCCCAAACTGCGCCCCAGGGCACCCGAGAGCGATCCGAAGAAGCCACACGAAACATCCTCCGCCTTCTCATCCTCCTCATCATCCTCCCCCTCACTCCCTCACCTCCTCCGCCTCATTTGGCCCCTCGCGGGGCAGCCTAATTGCTCGCCTCAGCGAGCCACCCCGCGTCGTCCAACTCGGCGACGGCCTCCGCCGCCGATGACCACTTATCATGGGCAATCGTTCCCATGAGCTCGGCGACCTGACGCTTGGTGACCGCCTGTGCAGTTGCTGATTGTATGGTGTGTTGTTGGTGTTGTTGTTGTTGTTGGTGGTGGTGGTGTTGTTGCTGTTGTTGTGTTGTGTTGTGTTGTGTTGTGTTGTGGTGTGTTGGTTGCGTGCGCGGCCTTCTAATGCGCCAGCGCCAGTTCGTCGTCGGCCTCGGCGGCCATCGCCTCGGCCTCAGCGTGCCCCCTGGAAGCCGCGACGGCCACGATCGCCGCTTTCGCGGCCGCGATCCGCAGCGCGGGCAGGGCCGCCACCGTGGCCGCCAGTGAAGCGACCCTCTAAGCGGAAAGGTCGTGCCCCGCCATTGCCGTTTTGGCCATCCCGACGGCCGCCCACTCCCCCGCGCCGTCGGGCGACGGTGGGCCCGCCGCATCGAGCTCCCGCACGGGTTCCGCGGGCGGCCCCGCATGCACGGGCCCCGCGGGCGCACCCGGGTCGGAGGCAGCAAGCCTCTCGTCGGCCGCCTCGGCCCGAACGGCCGCTTCGGGCGCCGCGTCGGGCGCGTCGGCGGCCGCGTCGGCGCGCGGCTCATCGGAGCCAGCCGCCGTGCGCCCCAGGAGAAACCCACAGCTCGGGCGCGCCCCCTGCACGTCGCCCAGGCCCAAGCGGG